AACAACCATGGATTCTCATTTATATATATGTAAAATAAACTACATTTTTCAGTGAAGTAATGCCAAAGTTCAGCAATTTTCCGGGTAAGCACTCTTGGGACTGTCTTAAATTCTTGTAGCATTAAGGACTTGTGAACATAAATCACACGGAAAGCTGAACAAAATGCAGTACCTAAGCCTAATTGCAAAGGTACATGCTTCAATAATCAACACTTTCTTTCATACTATACAAGTTTATGCCTATGGACGAAGCAAATTGATCTCGAATTTTTTTATTTTTTATATTCAAACCACCTCTAAGATGGAGCATTTTTAATGCATAATAAAGGAAATACGAAATTGGAGACAATAACATTCTGTTAATGAAAAAGAAACCATAAATTCCGAGTTCATTAATTGGTCTCCTAATTCTTAAACAAATGGACTGGCTTTGATGTCCAAAGAAACCGATATCATGTTTTGTAGAAACAATTAGATAGTGCAAATCGCAAAACAAAGAAAATTATAGCATGTTTTATTTACCATTTTCAAGCCGTTTTCTATTTTCGATTTTTCAAAACAGTGAAAACGCGTTTTTGAAAACAAGTTAAAAATTTACAAAGAAAATCCAAAACTACAAATTTGTTGTTTTTGGTGTTTTCAATTATAATCAAGCCTAAATTTTTAAAATGTCAAAAAGAACACATTTTCAACAATCTCAAAATGAACGCTCAAAACCCAAAATGAATTCAAAATTCAAAATACAAAATTGAAACACTTCTCTCCTGCCAAATCAAAAATCAACACAAATTTCTCAAATATAGTATAATTTTCACATAGTGAAATGTATCCTATTTTTTTTCCTTGGAACAGAAAAGTATGTAATTCGAAAAATTGAATGGAAGTACATTATTACAAAATAAGGCTGCGCATAGAAACAAGGCAACAAGGAAAAGATGGTTATTTTAGAGTAATGCTATTTGCAGTCGCTCACTGCAATAGTCGTTCTATGTGACACACACATGACATGTAGTTATTTGATGTATTAATGTGGTAGTTTTTGACCATATTTAATGCATTAAATACACATTTGATATGTGTGTGCCACATAGGACGACTGCTGCAGTGAGTGACTGCAAGTAACATTATTCGTTATTTTACTTTGATTCAATGCTCAAACTCACACAATCAGTGCGTTTTTGCACGCTTTGATAAGTCTGTTAATAATAGCTCACATTTCCATAAGAGACAAGTTCGAGTCAGGACAACCTCAAAAACTATCATCAACGGTAAAATGTTGATTAAAAAAAAGCAGATATAATTATATAAAATAAAAAAACAGATATAATTATGACAATAATGTAAGGTTAAAAACATTTAATTTAATTAAAATGTGGTGATGGTGTCAATATAGTGATATAGTCACTCCTTTTAAATTTTTTGTACAAAGTGATGTGTTGAGATTCGAACCTATGACCTGACTGGCTGAAAGTGTGCTTCCAACAATTGGTTAAAAACGTGTTACTTGGAATGGCACTTTTATTATTAAGGTGCTATGGCTGGATTGTTGACACTTGGCACCTCACTTGGCCGTTGGATGAAATTCTAGAGTCTTCGACTCTTTATCTTCTAGGAGACGCCTCATTTCGATCAATTATTCAGTTGGTCTTCATTCTCTCTCATTCTAGGGTTTGTTCTTCGTCTGTGTAGAGAGAATCGACTCATTCTTTAGGGTTTACATTCTGATTCTTGTAAACTGTATATTCTCAAAGTAGAACTTCTGTTTAGGAGGAAGTGTTGAGTCTTTGAGTGATTGTTGTGCTGAGTCTTTTGTGATTCGAGTAGTGAATGAGTGGTTTGACAGATCTTGTGTGATCTGGGCTAATTTTTGTGCTTTGAGAGAAGATCGATCTAAGGCTGAAAAGATAAGTGTCTGTTGCCTTCAGTCTTGTACAAATCTTGTAACTGTTGTTGCCATATTTTTGGCTTGTTAGTGCAACCGAGCAATATCCATTATTTGGATGCTCAACGGGGGATGTAGGCGTTAGATCTGGTCGCCGAACCTCCGGGGCTTAGGCCAAAAACATATTCTGTGTTCATTTTAATTTTCTGCAACTACTTTCTGTATTTTGTTGAATCTTTGTATCTTGTTCTAATATTGTGTGTGTCTTGGGCCTTTTCATGATGCCACATGGAATTAGAACTAATGGTGTAAATTACCTGTTTGGGCAGGATTAAAATCTAATTTTAATTTAAGTAAAAATCAAACAATCAATATTAACCACATCTTTCATGAGTTACACATCTTTCAACTACACATTTCAAATTTTTTTTATCATAATCTAATTTTAATCCCTACTAAACATTTTAAGTCTCCAACTCCCCAATACAGAATGACAAAATAAATAATCAATTTAGCAATGGTACAAGGCAATGCCACCTGTAATTAGGTGTGTAAATTGAGTCTGACCACATTCTCATTTTCATTATTCTATTAATTTTCAATCACATATTTTTCAATAAAACAATATTTTTCATTACATCAATAATTTTTTATTCTTTTTCAATCAAATATTCACCATCACATCACAAAAAATACGTTCTTTCTATTTTAATGTGCATCAAACACAGTCCGAGTTTCTAAATCTTTAGTTCAACCCACAATGAAGAAATAAAAAATCTTTAAATTAGTACTTGTATAAGGTAATGCCAATTGGAACTAATCAAGTGAATTGAGTCTTGACACACTATGAGAAAATAAATAAATAATTAATTAACTTAATAGTCGTATAACGTAAGACTAGTTAGAACTAACAGTGTAAACACTCGTATAAGATTATGCCAACTGGAACCAACATAAGTACAAGACCATGCCATCTGGAACCAGGGGGTGCCCCAACTCTTCGTATTTTCGTATAAATCACAAATTTGTATTAGAAAATCATTTTTTTTTTTTAAACAAAAAAATCTCTTCAATGACCGGGCCCACCTTGCCAATTATCCCGCCGTTAAAAGACATCTCCACCCATTCCATCCGTCTGTGATTCTCTCATTTCCTTCTCCAAGAAGCATTTCACTTTACACTTTGGACTAGAGATAGAGACAGAGATTCACTGAAAAATAAGCATCCGATCTTCTCTATCAATCTTAAGTAAGTAATTTCTTTAAATTTTAATATTGTTTTCTTCAATTTGCATTGGCTAAATTTCGTTTCTAATGATCTATTAGATTTTCATTTTCTCTACAACACATATAATTTGTTAAAGGAATCTTTTTTATTGCATTTCTTGAACTTTGTATCCAGTTTTGTACAATTTTATACTGGAATGTAGTAGTCCTGTGGTTTTTGTTGGTATTGTAAGTTGATTGTTTGTTTGTTGAAAGGTCAGAGCTTTAGGGGAAAACAATTTAATAATTTTAAAGATATTGATCAAATATTAATCTCTACTTTCAATTTGTTATTTTAATGTTTAAAATCCGGAAGAAATTCATTTTATTTTATTTGCCTAATTTCATGAAAGGAAGAATTCACTCTTTTATCTTGCTGAATGAGACTTATTGATTAGTAATTGGGAATCTAAGTAAAAAAAAATGGAAAAAATGAATGAAAGAAAAGAGTTATAAGCAATGAATGTACATATACACGTGTGGAAGCTACTTAATTTCGAAAAATTGTAGGTGAACTACTTAATTTTGGAAAATTAATGGTGAAGTCTGTCAATTGAATGAACATTTTTGGTCTATTTTCTGTTATAATTAATTATTTGCAATGTTTATCCTTTCTCTTTGAAATGCCTGGAATATGAATAGAGTCTAAATATAGCCTTGATGACTTCAAAGATTAATTGTATACTATTTAAATTAGGATTTACGGGTAGCGTATATTTTGAAGTCTAGGTTTTGGTTTTATAACATTCAAATGCAGAGGTATTTTCAATTGGCTTGTTTTTTCTTCTTTGTCATTCGACAATGTGTGGGTGTCTTTAGCATTGTGCATATATTTACAATAAAATCATTGAAGAATTGATCAGATGTATTTTGCCAATATTTCCCCCTCTAGTAAATTTTATTAGCTGTTAGTTTGACATCCAGTGCTTAGTTTCATGTGCCTGGGTAATACGTCACTCTTTTGTTCTTCATACGTTGACCTTCCAGTGAAAAACTAATTTTCTTCTTTTATAAGAACGAGTCAGAAACATCCGACGCATCAGAATCCCAAATGAGGAAAAATTCCCTCCAAACTAATCTATTTTGAACTTTTAATCACTTAAAATAAGTTTCTCATAATTTCCAATTAGTCTGCCTTGAAAGCCATGCACCAATTCCTCTTTGATCCTCTTACTCTTCTCTGATTTCCTTCTTCGAGCATTACACTCTACACTCTAAACCAGAAAGAGAAAGAGAGAATCACTGGAAAAGAACCTCACAATTTTTGGAGTAAGAAATCTCTTCAAGTGTTTATGTTGTTTTCTTCAATTTTTATTAGCTAAATTTCATTTATAATGATTTAATAGATTTTCATTTTCGTTCTGAAATTAGTAACCGTTGATAAATTCAAATCTTGGTAAATTTGATAAAAAAATTCTCTTTATTAGATTGTTGAATTGCATTTTTGGAACATTGTATCTAGTTTTGTACGATTTTATGCTTGGATGTAGTGGAGGGGTTTTTGTTGGTAATATAATTTGATTGTTTGTTGTTGAAATCTAGAGGCTTTACAAAAATATTTAAAGAAATTGATCGCTTTAAACTAACATGTAATCATTAAGTTATAGAAGGATTTTCAATCGGCTCAATTGAATTTCTTTTTCAAAAGTCTTCATTAAAATGCTCGCTTCTTTTTCAGTTGAAGGATGAAAACGGAAACACTGCCTTCGACGTTTTCTTACACCAATGAGGACCAAAATAATCTCAAGCAATTACTCGATGCTTTTGGGTCTGTGGTTTCTCTCGACGACATTGCTTCAGCCTACTGTCTAGCAGATCGCAACTTAATAACTACAGGCGAAGTACTCCTTAAGATGCAGGGAAGCACCTCTAGCACCTCTATGTCAGTTTCACAAGATGATCTGGAAAGCAAAAAAAGTGGGTCTTCTGAATATCAAATGGATAATATCATGGAAAGTGCTCGTGTTTCTAACTTCAAGGCCAAAAAGTGTTCAGCATCAATGGGAACTGTGTCATGTGTGATTGGAAGAGAATATTCTCGACATAGGTCTGTACCTAATGAATCATGCAAGAAGACCAAACCACTGAAATTGAATTCAAAAGATTTTCCGGTCTCTGAAATTTGGGATGAGAACGTGGAATCAGATTCCCCAGCAAGGAGTGAAACCATGCATCATGACATCGAACAATTTCTTTTCAAAATGCTTGGAGATGGCTTTCAGCTCAAAATGGATGTAATTCAAGATGTCGTTGGTAAAAACTTGTAGCTTGATAACAAAGTTACATGTGTAACTTTCCATATTCACGCAATTAAAAATGACTTCAACAAGCAGCATTTCATTTTGTGTTTAGCAACAGAGACAGCCACTTATTGCTTGTTTGAGTTAATTTATACTCTTATTATAATTTAAAGGTCAAAGTCAAACTTTAATTTTGACTACACAATATGTAGAACACACAATACTATTCGACACTCATTTCTATCAGCAACCAATGATCTCTCCCAAACAAGCACTTAATGTGGAAGGAATTATGTTACCAAGCCAAAATATTATAAACTCAACTCTCTCATTTCTTGATATTATTATGTCTAATCATGCAATATCTTCAATTTGCAGGCCAGTGTGGATACGACATGAAAACGGTAAGTCTATACTGATTGGCTATATCAGCTCCTAAATCTTGCCATTATCGAAAGAATTCTGCTGTTCTGAATTACAGATGAAGTTTCAAATTTATGAATTTTTCCAGGTTCAGTTGCCTTTTAAACTATATTGCACTTAAGCGACCATTAACTTCACATCTATATTTGCTCTTAGTTTCTTCACATATTGTTGTTTTGGATTGATATTGTTGTGATAACAAAGTTGTGGATTCAAGTCTAGATGTCGCAACTTACATGTAATACCAAAGAGTTTCTACCAGCCTTCTGCTAGCAGTCTTTCTTAGAAGGAACTATTTGGAGAATTGTCCCTTTATGATTTAGTGCATTTCTCTATGCGTTTGATTTTCTAAGTTTACAACTTCTCTATCTTTCTCTTTTGTAAATATGCAGAGCATGGATAAGCTTCTCGACCTCTCAGCATCAACGTTAGGGAAGAAAGACGATATTATTGGCATTGATGCTTGTAAGGTAGCTTGATTTCTAAAAAAAATAAAAATACATGGAGAACGTCTCTATCCATTGTGTGTGCATTATAAATTATCTTTACATAGATAGAAGCTCGAGATGGCAACTTTTGTGATGAAGTCATGTATTGTTCAATTTATGCTTCTGAAGAAGCTAAATGCTAAAGTGTCTTGGTGCTTTACGATTAAGTCCTAGTGTACCCCCACCCCCACCCTGCAGGATAATAACAGATTTTATAAAGTAAATCCCATTTCTAATTTTTCTTGATTGATAAAAATTCTAATCTTGATTTAGAATGTTTTTTTTTTTTTGGGAGATGTAGCTCATAATTGATGTAAAGTTGCAGTATAAAGTATAAACAGTTCACACTCTCCATGAATATCTACTGAATCTCTTTTTTAACCTATTTTCTTGGTCTGTCAACTCATCTCATTAAATAGCATATGAGGAATAATTCAGAGCTAGAAGATGTTCCATTTAAAGGACAACCATCAAACGTCGACTTCTGTGAAAGGTATAAATTATTCATTAGAAACTTTTATAAACTGCAAGTGTTGCAGTATTAGAGCAGGAGGAACTCTCCTCTTCTTCAAAAATCTTAATCTAGAAACTGTTATAGTACTAGAAAAGGTATGATGTTTTCAATTTTGCTTTTACATTGTGCAGATCGAATGCTGATATCACAACTGGAAGGGAATTAAGATTACCAAGAAGAGAGAAGGAAAAGCAAGATCTCCAAAAAGAAGTTCTTCAGGCACTATTTAGTGCACCTGAAAGAATTGAAGAGAAGCCAGAGAGAATTCAACCAATCAGAGGAGACAGGCAAAGGACAAATTATGGACGGTTTGTGGCGAAACCACTAGAAGAGACAAGTTTAGAAAATATTACCTTTATTACAAGACGACAAGTTAGTGAAAGGAGTGAGTACTCTGCCTCTTAATGACATGACATGATATGGCTTTTTGTTTTTCCAATTTCAATAGGAAGATTAGGGGTTGTAGATTGGTAGATGATTCGGTCAGAATTTTCTCATTGCTGGGCTTTTTTTGTTTCGGATTTGATAAAATATCTGTACTGTTTAACATATTGAGTTTATTCATTATGCAAGAAGGATATGTCCATGCGTTTTCATGTGATCTGCAAGTTCTAGTGCCTGTTTGGTAGGAATTTAAATCTAGATTTTAATCTAAGTCAAGTCAACAATTAATTCTAACCACATATTTCATGGGATCCTCAACTTTTCAACCACACGTTTCATCAACTTTTATCAAAATCTACTAAAAATCTGATTTTAATCCCCACCAAACAGGGGCCTAATTTTTCTGTGTACATTTTTATTTATTTCAATTTGAACTTGAGATTACGACCTTTGGAGTTATGAAGTTCAATGAAATTAAAGTTTTGATCTAAATATTTTGATATTTAAACCAATGTCATATTTTCTGTTTTCCATAATGTTGTTTGTACTTTGGATCTTATTTTGGATCTTTTCCCCAATATCTTTGTACAATCTTTTCATTCTTTTGTGCAAAGGCAATGATAAGATGTGCCACTTGCTGTTGTTTCCATTTTCTAGAGGCAACTTCATAGAGCATCTTTCTTCTTGAATACAGTGCACAAGTTTTGTATGCTTTGTTATTGGAACTAGCCACGTGAATTACTTGTACAAGTTTCTTTCGGACAAGTAATTTTTGATATTTCAATGCTCAGGTTTATTCCAAAAAATATACAGTTCAGTGCACCAAATTTTATTGTTAACTGCAATGCTTGATGACTACTTCCAGCCTTTAATGCTGGAATTATTAAACAGAGAGCATTTCTATTCTATTTTATTGTTCATTACACAGGAAGTATACATTTGCATTTTCTGAAAAGGGTTATTTGGTAACTTGGTTTCTCATCCCTTACTTCAATGCTCTCCGATGTGTATGAATGGTTGTTCTTAGGTGATGATAATGGTGAGAATAGCTATGAGGACTTGCGTGAGGCTGTGAAGGAGCATTGGGTTACAATGAAAGAATACTATAAAGCTGTAAGTCTTTGAGCTCCCATGCCTGCACCTCACCTCCTCCAACTCTCCACAACGCCCTATCTTACTCTCTGTTCTACATTGAGATCTGAAAACATTATCAGATGTATCTCTCAGAATTCTTGAATGAGATTTAATAGTCATGGTTTCTTGGACAGGCTGTTGATGCATTCACTGAAAAGGATCATGAGAAATCACAGAAGTTTCTGCAAGAGGTATACTAAATGTCTCCTTTAAACTCGCACTAGCCACTAAAGCTTAGATTTGAAAATGATCGTACAGTATACTGTACTTCTTTTATCTTGTTATTTTTATGACTATACCACCAACTTTTTCTTGAACTTCATCATCTAGTCTCTATCGACATAGCATCTGGTTAGATTTTGAGATTTCAAGCATGCTTTCAGCTTTTTGCTTCTCCTTGACAAAAGAAAAACTATTGATCTTCCTTTGTTAGATTGAGTAATACACAGAACTTCTCATCACATGTTATTATTAACGGATGCTATTCTCTTACGTTTTTTCTCTCTCTTCTTCTTTTCCGTGCTGCTGGTGTGGGGGGTGGGGGGTGTATAGGGACACTTTTTTATGAAGAAGGCCCGAGAAGCTGACGAAACATCTGCGGCAAAACTTCTTGAGAACAGGTTAGAACTACCTGCTATGCCTTTTGTCTTCTTTGACATCTTTTTATAATTCATCCATTCCATTGCCTATAAAATGGCCTAAAAGCTTACACTTTCTGCAGTTGCACAGAAGAAGAATTTTCTCTTAATGTGCATTTATTTGAACCAAAGGAAGCTGTTCGCATGCTGAGACTTCACTTGTCTACTTTTTCGGGTCTTCCATGTACATTATCATTCTTTCACTTTTTTCTTAATTAGGTTCGACTTAAAGACGTGGTTCTGAACTGTTCTTTTTTCATCAGCTGTTCAGCATCTCAAGGTTATAGTTGGGACCAATGAAAAAGATGCCAAAGAAGGGCTTCGGAAGAGAATGGTATGGGTATTCCTTTCATTGCTTGATAATTAAAGTTTGTGTATCTATTCTTCGTGCTCTTATGGATATGAAACTGGTGCTTTGTCTGGGAGATTTTTTTTTTTAAATCATTCTCCCCAAAATCATTTTCAACCATACATTATATGTGATCCATAATTTTTTCCTATTTTTTAACCTTATATTTTCCAAAAAATCATTTTTCACTTGGAAAAATCTCTCCCAAACAAACACTAGATTAACAGTAAGAAATTTTACTTAAATGAACATTTTATACATAATACCGGATTGGATTGGGCAGTATGGAAAATAAGGCTAGATATGGTCTGATTCGGTTCGATTCTAAAGAGAATCGAAGAACTTGAACTTTCGAGTATTTAGTAAGTGGAACCACCGAGTCAAAATTTAATTATGGAATCGTTTGGGCTCCATTCTATTCGGTTCGGTTCTCGAGTTTCGTACAATAATTAATTTTTTTATATTTACAACAACACTATATTAATTCGATTATGATATGTTCAATCTTAACTCTTATAAAATAATGTAATCAAATCTCGTGATATCTTTTGCGTCTCTCTTTATTGAGTTTTTTATATATTTGAGTGTTAAAATTACAAAAAGAGAAAGACAACAATTTCCAATAATAGAACGACAGAAATGACACTACGGTAGAATAAAATATTTGAGTAAAATTTAGGTCAATTTGATTAAGTTAGATTTGGTTGAAAATTAGAAATTGTAAAATCATATTTTGGGTTTGGCTAAATTAATTTGTTAGCAAATTTATTTAGAAAAAAAATAAAATAATTCGACCTATTTAAGATAAAAAATTAAAAAAAATTAGGGAGATTCGGTTCTTGATCTAGAAT